CAACAAACATACATTGCAGAGAAAGGGTACAAAAGGTCAAAGGAAGCCTAAGACCAAGTGAACTTGCTAGTTGGCTGCAATGTTGAAAACAAAGAGAAGACAAAGCAAGACTGTTCAAATCCCAAGTGACAGAGAAGGAGTGAATGAGGCCGGCACTGTTGGTAAGTGAATTCTGACCCGATGGCAATTTTGCTCAGTCTTGCTCCGGTTCTTACAAATTTCAGGTTTTTGGATTATGTCAACAATTTGGTTCATAATTCTTATAAACCAAATTGTGGGGGGCATTTGTTGACACCTAAAATTAATTTGACCGAAATTAAATGCCACATTAATTAGTCTCGGCATTTAATTCGATACCGCAGGTTAAAAACGATGTCGTTTGGAGTTAAGCGGTGTCGCGGAGAGTTAAAACGGTACCGCAAGAAAGCTCGGCGGTACCGCGGCATGGGAAACGACACCGCTTAATGAAAAAAAAAAGGTTTGTGCGCGTGTAGTTGGGTTGGAGAAGGGAGTTTTATAATTAATTATTACCTTTATTCCTTGTAGGAAGGGGAAAATCGGTACCGCATGGAGAATTAAAACGGTAACGCAAGGAAGCTCAGCGGTACCGCGGTACCGGTCACCAAAAAACAAAAGAGGGGCCGCACATTAGTGAGTATTGGGGAATGAGTTTTGTTTACTCTAATTAATTATTATTATTTTTTACCCCTTGTTGGATAGGGAGAAGCGGCACCGCGGAGAGCTAAAACGGTGCCGCGGAATTAAAAACGGTACCGTGGATTGGCAAACGACAGTGTTTAAAATAACAAACAATGTCGCAAAAAGGAAAAAACAATCGGAGCTGTGGTGACGCTAGCGATGTCGTTGGCCATAGCTAGTGATGGCCGGATTAATTAATTAATGTTTTAATAACTTTTTAGCATGGTGTCGTTTAGTTGAAAGCGATGCCGTAAGAGGAAGAAACGACACCGCGGGACAAGGAAACGGTGTTGTTTAACCAAGAACGACGCCGGGGTGAGAGTTTGACGGCGAGTTAACAATGAGGGCTGGTTGAATAAATCAGTATTTTATGAGTATTTTAGACGGTGTCGTTTAATGAAAAGCGATGCCGCGGAAAAATAAAACGACATCACGGTAGTGGTAAGAGTTCGGCCGAAGGCAGCCCGCCAAGCCTAACGGCGTCGCAAGAGTATAGAACGACGTTGTTTGATGGACTAACAATGTCGTTGGTTAAACCGGGTCGGGGCAGTTGAGTTGGATCATAAAACGGCATCGGTTGGTGAAAGGCGATGACGTGGTATTGGTGAAACGTCATCGTTACATGGACAAGGTGGTGAGTCGTTTTGCCAAGTTTCTGCAAAGCAAGAGCGGTTTCGAGGGCACGTGATTATCACGCAACAAGGAGGAAGTTACCTGCACGGTTGACAGGAATGAAGTCGTGGGAGACAAAGGCGCCAAGGCAGTTACCACGAAGGGGAGAAGCGCGAAGTATAAAGATTGAGAAGAGAGAGAGAGACTCGAGACGGCAAAATCAAATGACAAACTGCACCTACGCAGATTTATCTTTTTTCTCTCTAGTTTCGTAGAACCGCTCTGTCAAAGAACTCCTTTGCTGAGTCGTAGATCGTAGCTCGTATTCGTAGTTGCGGAGCTCTCCAGAGGAAACTCCATAGGAGTAGAGGTAACGTAACTTAGAATACTCCCGGTTTGGTTTCTCGTTTCTCGTTGAACACCCTCGTTTGAACGTAGTTTGGAGAGGTGGTGAACCGAGTAACGGTTGTTTGATTAGAAGTCAAAGGTGTATTGATCGAATCAACATCGCCGACACCGGCGGTGGATATTTGACAGTCATCTTGGTTTCCGTTTAATCGATCAAATCAACGGCGCCGACATTCGGTGGCGGATATTTGACGGTTTTTGCTGACTTTGGATTTTTGTTTCCTTGAAATCAGAGCGCATTGAACGCGCGAGTTTCGCCAACGAAACAGAAGGCAACCCATAAGAAGAGAAGAAAGAAAGAACTCAAGAAGGATCTTCTTGGAAGGCTCAAAGAACCTTCATATTGACTAGGATTTGTGTTCTTCCCTTGAGCTTTCACTAAGCCTTGAAACCATACTTAATGTGTTTCGACCAGAAAGTTTACAACGACCAATGCATTAACTACGTATGTCATACTAGTATTTACATCCATCCATCCTCGTATGATTCTTAATTGAGCTTTCACTAAGCCTTGAAACCATACTTAATGTGTTTCGACCAGAAAGTTTACAACGACCAATGCATCAACTACGTATGTCATACTCGTATTTACATCCATCCATCCTCGTATGATTCTTAATTGAGCTTTCACTAAGCCTTGAAACCATACTTAATGTGTTTCGACCAGAAATTTTACAACGACCAATGCATCAACTACGTATGTCATACTCGTATTTACATCCATCCATCATCGTATGATTCTTAATTGAATTAGATCTAATGTTGGTAGGAGGAATAATGCATTTTTTGTTTGCTCATAAACATATCCTTTTAATAGGAAAATATTTTGAGGCTTTAACCATGAACTTCGAGCTAGCTAGCTAGGCTAGTCTCTAAACTAATTACAGCTAGGGCCCGGCGGATGAACCCAATCCGTCAATTCTTAAAACTCAAGGCATAGGCTGCTACAGAATCTAACTGACTAACACATTTCTATTTTTAATGGTTAGTGCGACCACGATATAACAAAACCAAAAAACCACTACTAGTTTATGTTATTTAAAGTTTCAACCATGAGGTACAAAAAAGAAAATATTTGACAATTAGGAGATACAAGCCCAGCTTATAGTTAAGGATCGCCAAATCTCCAAATCTCCAAGGATCATAGATCATATTCATATCAAGGATATAATAGGTGGCATTCATATTTAGTTCTTTACACGATTTATTTTTTTTTTTTTTTTTTGCGTTTACATCCTTTATAAACAAGCAAAAAACGATAGACTCGGGGAAGAGACTAATAAGCAAAGATTGAAAAACTGTATTGTACATGTTGTTCGATGGCGAAAACCTCCTACCATAACCAAAATATGTAGGCTACTTTTAACAGTATGAAATGGTTGAACCAAAGTTTGAGTATAAAATACTCTACTGTTGACTTCTTCGGTACAACTTCTTTAGTACAGTTTTACAATCCTAGTTGATAAGCTTATAACCTAATAACTTTGATTATGTAATGCTAATAAGCTTAGAGCCTAAAATCCAAAAATATGTTGTTTTCAAAAAATTGACTCCGGAGTTGTAATATTTGAAAAGTTATGCAATTTTTTTGCCCTGATGGGATGGCAGAGCACAAATTGCAGCCATCTAAAGTTTAGAAAAATTATGATCGTTCAAAGTGTTATACTATCATAAGAGCACATGTTTTGGATTTTGGCGGGTTTGAGTATACTTCTAGGGGTCGTTTGGATTAGAGATTTTAATAACGAGGGATTTTAAACCAAATCTCTCATTTAAAATACCAGGAAATTTATACACAGGATTTAGTTAAAATAACTCGTTTGGATTGATACACAGAATTTTAACATAAACATGCAAATTACATTATTGTCCTCATCTTCTATCCTTCGTCTTCTTCCCCATGTTCTTCATTTGTCAATTTTCTTCCATGGGCGATTGAAACCCAGATTGGACAGAGATAAAACAAAGAAAGAATGGATGCTGCCAATTTCCACATAAACGAAGCACAAGGCTATTGTTACTACTAGCAATCCATAATCTGATAATCTAATGAATCCCAGAATACCCAAATAACAATAAATACTAAACGAACAATGAAACCCAGAAATTCTAATGAGAAAGAGGGGGGAAATTAGAGGAAAAGCAGGGATAAGGGATCCGAGAGGTCGGATCCATATAAGATATTTGGTGGGTCTCGATGTCTTGAGTTGCGGCGCTTCTCGTCCATGGCTGTCATTTTAGGGAATTCGCCGCCGCTCGAGGACGGCTCTGAATCGGGCCATCTCAGGGGCGCGAGCTACGAAACGTAGTGCTCGCCATGGAGGATTCACGCTCAATCGATACACTTTTCAAACACGAAGTCGGGAGGCTGTTGGATTGGCGCTCAATCAACACAATCTAGTCCCAGAATCGTAACTCTGTTCCGAACCCAGAATCGGAAATCAACCTTTCATTTGAAACCCGAATCGCTGTCGACAAAACGGAGGTGGAGAGGAGGGCAATTCGACCAGGTGATAGATGGATGCACTTTTGGTGATGTTTTGATGATGGAAGGGAGAAGTCGACGTTGAGATGAACTGCGATGGAGGTGTAAGAAGGAAGAAGTAAGAAGAGCGAGACAGATACTCGAGGGGCAATGTTTGGAAATGATAAAATAAAAATGAGGGATTGTGAAATAGCTGATGGTCCCCAAACGCATAATTGTTTTAAAATCCTGCATAATGAGTGATTGTTTTAAAATCCCTGATAAATCCCTCAATAGAATCCGGCATCCAAACGACCCCTAGAGTCATTTTTTTATGGAAAATATCCCTAATAAAGTTGTAGTTCTTGAAAGTTATTAAATGTATCGATGGGATAATCAAAGCACAAAATTACAATCGTCTGAACAATCGACGTATATTCGTAGCAGATTGCTACAGCCTGCAGACTGTACTGATTCACTTGTAAATCGCTCCAGACTGAAGCGATCCACCTAAAGAGTGCAGCAGCAGCGAATCACACCAAACTTGTATATTATGCAAACTTTAGTGTTGTATTGTGAATTTTTTTTTATAGTGAAACTTTTTATTTTGGATCGAAAAAAAATCCGTTAATAACCATACATACACAAAAAGAAGAGGCCAAACCGTAATGAATCTCCTCCCCAAAAAAGGATCACTTTAAATTATACTCCTCAATCACCACTGACAATCTCCTCATTCAAGCGTGGCCAAGACAGCTCACCCAGCTCCTCCACTCCGTATATATACACAGCCCCGACGAAGCCCTGTTTCAATTCCAACACTCACTCTCCCACTCCTTCTCACTCTCTGCTCTCCCCACCCCAAAAAAATATTCTGCACATAAACTGTTTGTTAAAATTCCCAGCTGACAGACACCAGACTCCAATCCCATCTCAACCTCCTCCGATAAAAAACCCATAACTGCCATCACTTATCACTCTCATGATCCCCACTCCCCACACAGACTTCTTCTCCCCAACGTCTTCAATGGGTTCTCCTTATATCGACTAGATTTCAATCTCCCTCCCAATCGATCTCCTCTGTTTCTTCTTTCATACTCTGTTTTCCCCTACTCAGTTTTTCCCCCACACCATGCTGCTAATGGACTACCTCAACGAAGTAGAAGGCAAAAGGACCCACGACCCTTACTTCGACTCCGCCGCCGCCTCCCCGGGCCGGACCGTCTGGGTCACGGGAGCCCTGATCGTCGGCGCCGGCCCATCCGGCCTCGCCACCGCGGCCTGCCTGAAAGCCCGCGGCGTCCCAAGCCTGATCGTCGAGCGGGCCGATTGCATCGCCTCGCTGTGGCAGCACAAAACATACGACCGCCTACGCCTACACCTCCCCAAACAGTGCTGCCAGCTCCCTCTCATGCCTTTTCCTACCGATTTCCCAACCTACCCGACCAAACAACAATTCCTCGGCTACCTCGAGTCGTACCGGACCCGATTCGGTCTTGAACCGGTCTTCAACTCGGCGGTCGAGACCGCGGAGTTCGACCGCCGCTGGGAGGTCTGGCGGGTCAAGACGGTCGTCGCGACGACGACGGCCCGACCCCAGGAGGTGGAGTACGTGTGCCAGTGGCTGGTGGTGGCGACGGGGGAGAATGCCGAGGCGGTGGTCCCGGAGCTCGACGGGATCGAGGCGTTTCGCGGGCCGGTGGTCCATACGTCGTCGTATCGGAGCGGCGAGGGGTTCGCCGGGAAGAAGGTGTTGGTCGTCGGTTGCGGGAATTCCGGCATGGAGGTCTGCCTTGACCTTTGCAACTACAAGGCTCGTACCTCTCTCGTCGTTCGAGACTCGGTGAGTATACATAAATCGCGTGCGCAGAAGGGCGCTCTAACCTTTTTGTGTTAATACGTACGTAGATTCGAGCTAGTCGGATTGACATTGTCCTTTTTAACTTTATTTAAAGGGGTGGATGTTGAATTGAATGGTCCTTAATAAGGGTAATTTGTAGAGTTACTACTTTGAGCTTGGGTGTTTAGGGTTTTAACTTTTTTTTTTAAACTATGGTGTTAGTAGCACATGTAAATTTTACCTTTTTTTGTTTTTTTTTACTGTATTAAAAAAATGGTAACTTTCTTGGAAGACGTTTGCATGCGCATTCTGGCCTCAGAGCCTTTTTTGCCATGCCCACTGAGCCACCACCACCCTATAATCACCATGGGGTAATTAATTAGGGTTTAATCTCTATTTTGTAATAATAAAATATTTTATAATCCACCGCCCCAGGATCCCAAAGAGCAAAATCTTTGCCTAAACAGTACTTATCATGATTTCTTCTTTTAATAATTTTTTTTAAATCCAATTTGCAGGTGCACGTCTTGCCGCAACAGATGCTAGGGACGTCCACTTTCGGGCTGTCGATGTGGTTGACCAAGTGGTTCTCGATTCGAGCCGTGGACCGGTTCTTGCTCCTCATGTCGCGCCTCATGTTGGGCGACACCGCTCGCCTCGGCCTGACTCGCCCCAAGCTCGGGCCCTTGGAGCTCAAGGGGCTCACGGGCAAGACTCCGGTCTTGGATGTTGGGACTCTTGCCAAAATCAGAAGTGGTCACATCAAGGTGCGACCACAACCAAAAACTTTGCAAAATTTGAGACTATTTTTTTTCCTCTTTTTAGTAAAACCTAACTCGTTCTTCCTGTTTTTGCTACCTTTTTTTAGGTCCGACGTGGGATCAAGAGAATAACCCATCAGGCCGTGGAGTTCGTGGACGGAAGGGTCGAGAACTTCGACGCCATTGTGCTAGCCACAGGTTACAAGAGCAACGTCCCGACATGGCTCAAGGTATGTGTACACACTGCGCGTCTATGTGACCCTTCACATAGTCATAAAGGAAACATCGTACATATCTGATTTGATTTCGAACTTTGTGGTCAACAATCAGGAACGAGAGATGTTCTCGGAGAAAGACGGACTGCCTCGGAGAGCGTTCCCGAACGGGTGGAAAGGCGAAAACGGGCTGTTTGCGGTGGGGTTCACAAAGCGTGGTCTGCTGGGGGCTGCCATTGATGCGAGGAGGATCGCGGAGGAGATTGAGCTCCGTTGGAAAGCTGACCAGACTAAAGTGAAGTAGTAATTAAATAAAAAACTACTACTGGGTGGCAATGGCATGGTGGAGAGAAGGAGAAGGAAAAAAAAGTGAAGAAAAAAGGAAGATTATTGAATTAATTAGTAGTAGCAGCAGTAATTAGTAGTAGTAGGGAGCTGAATTAGTGGGGGGAAAATTTTTCATTAATTAATTGAGATTTTGGGGGTGTCTTAATAATCATCCCTAAATCTTAATTAATTAATATTGACGACCGGCCTCTTTTGATCAACTGCACAAAATCTAGCTCTAGGATGGGGATAATTAGGAAAGGATTAAGTTTGGTGAGTGATAGGATCTTTTGGTTTGTAAATGTCTTTTGTAAATGAATGGTGGTTTTTTTCCTCCCTCACTCTCTTTTTTCCTTTGGTTTTATTTTTATGGGTTTTGTTGGGTTTTCTCTTAATTTCGTTGGTGAATATTTTTCAGGAATTTAGAGGGAGAGGAGGGATGAGTTTGGTTTGAATTGTTATAAGATGTTTTCCATTTAGGGTCTTATTATTATTATTATTATTATGGTGATGTTGACGAAAGTTATAAAATTACTCCGAGAGTTCTTCATTCAAGTTTTGTAATTTCGTGGTGTGATTTGTTCTGATGGGATTCAGCGTATTAGTGATAGTATGATCACAGCTGGTGTGAATTGTGTAATCCGTGTTGAGCTTGATTTACTAGAAAACAGTAACTACACAAGCAAAATTGTCAAGTGATATTGAAAGGGAAAAAAAGGTGGAAAATGAAAGATCATATCGGCCATGGAAAAGGGGTCTTAGGATTTGAGAGAGATATAGCAAAGCTTAGATCTCTCTTTCTTTCCTGCACCTTCTTCAAAACGTACAATTAGATTAATACTTATCAAAATTCACTTTGGACCCTGCTGCCTTCATATCTTCATCAATAAAATAGGGCCACCATTTATATAGAGAAAAAAGATTTCTTTTTGGGTACTTTGAGCAATCCAGACAATGATCTCCAACAACAAGTTGTTAATTCTTCCTTTTCTCAATCGATCCTTTTGCTTTAATCGGAAGGGGGAAACGAGCCCAATTTGGTAACCAATTGATGCTGCAAGCTTTCTGTGGCATCAAAGAACTTTGATTGCTTTTAAAGATCGAATGTAATCACAATATTAGAAGGGATAATTAATGGTTTAAGTTGAAGCCCCTTGTTCAAGCCTCAGTTCTACCAATAAGGTAAAAAAAGGTACTTTGGTTATGAGAAAGGAGAGTTCGAAATGAAGTTCGAGTACCCTATGCCTAACCTTGTATAACAAACTCTTTTCTTCTTAGAAGAAACAAAAAAAAAAGGATTTTTCGATTCTCTTGATTTCACTTTCTCTCTACAATTTCTCTCTCTTTAATCTTTACAATTCATCTTATGTCAAACTTTTGCCTTGATCATCAGACAACTCCCAAAGCCAAAGATTTGATGGAGCTTTGGCCTTTGTGCAAAGACATCAGACATAATTACGCATCTAGCGTCTACTTCACTAATGAGGCACCACGCGCTGTGGAGAACTGAATAGAAAAAATAGGCAGTGTCGAGCCAAGTTTTACCCCAGTTTGAACTCAGCCCGTTAATAAACGAGTTGAGTTCGAGCTGGACTCGTTAATCGAGTCAAGTTCGAGCTAGCTTGTTTAATAAAATAGTGACTCGTATTTGATATATTCATTTTGTATACCATAAATGATACATGTAATTAATGTCAAGATTAAAATAATAATAATTAAGTATTCTAACTAATTTCATGTTATACTTTGTGGTATCAACTATTTAGTTAATAACTTTTAACTATTTTTTTATAGAAAACCCTGTATTATTTCATCATGTAGTACTATAAATTTTAACTATAATAAATTTTAACTATTGAAATTATGTTATTTCCTAGTATCGAAGCAATCTATGATATATAATTTCTTTTAAAAATTAAATAAGACATATTTACTCAGATAATCTACGTATTAAACTTCATATAGGGTGAGATACATAATTTAACAATCCTATGAATGATCAAAATCAAACTCATATAGATCAATTCGCTCATAATTCGGTAATCAAGTTAGCTCTCTAGCCACAATGTTGAGAGTTGAGACATCTCATGAGCTCTAAAGGAGCAAGCTCACAAGTTGAGTTCAACAAGCTACCGAGCCGAGTTAGCTCGCGAGCTCCGCAAACTGCAGAAGGCTAAACTCAAGCTCGGCTTATTAGTAAACGAGTCGAGTTTCGAACGAATTTTTTTCGAGACGAACATCGAGCCGCTCGCGAGGGGCTCGGTTCATTTGCAGCCCTAGCGGTATAAGTACAACTGAGTTACAATGCACGGTCTACTGTTTGATGATGTATGTTAATGAATAATGGGCCCATCCTCCATTAATATATGGTAGAGTTTTGTGTAATTTTCTCCATTTTAAATTTCCTGTAACGAGAGTGAAAGTAGGAAGGACATTTTTGTCTTTACAATTAATTATTTATTTCAAATAAAAATATCAATATCAAGATTTGAACCTGGGTTCTCTTCAAACAAAGACAACAATCATAACCAACTACACTAAACGAATTTGTTGTTTCTATTTGATACAAAACATACACTAAGTTAAACTCTGGAAAGTTGATGACTTTTACATCATGATCAACAAGCCCACTAAGTCTACCATATATATTTTTATGGTGCTTAATACTTCAATTTCCATAGTAGAGTTTCATGTAATTTTATCCATTTTAAAATTCATGCTCTCTTTAATTTTTGCTTAGGTGAATTTGGCTAACATGGAAGAAATTATTTCTTCTACGTGTTGTGTCATTGCATTTTTCAATTTAAATTTAAATTTTGTGCTTTTTTTTATCTTTGTTCTTATCTCTTTATAACTTCATCCGAAAGTCCCTTCATCGTGCAATAATTTGGCCCTTTCACTTCCCAGTACAAGGACGCATTTGAAAATTAATCTTCCGGTTTCTCTTGGTACGACAGATTTATTTTTGGGATTTAAGCTAGGCAAATAGAAAATTTCAAATTCGATATCAATCCATGGCGAATATAATGGAGTTCAATCAAGTAGTTATGAATTTAAACTTGGAGTAGAAGAGTTGGAATTGAGTTTGAGAATGGAAATGGTGGGGGAAGAAGTTGTGTTTGGATTTGGTAACAGGTAAAGTTCCATTGCAGCAGGTGAATGCAGAGAAGAGGGAGTTGGAGAGGGTAGTGAATGAATTGAGGTGGGTGTTGAAACACATAGAAGGGAAATTGGAGCAGTTAAAGAGATAGAAGTGGGAGATGATGAGGATAATAATGAAAATGGGGAGGTTATTGAAGGGCATGGAAGTGGACTGAAGCAGGTGAAGGCAGACAAGGGGGAGATGAACATATTGATGGAATTGGAGATGAGTGTTGGTTTAGCGAACTTATTACAAGTGTCCCGAGGAAATGAAGTTGTTTGGTTGAAACATATGCCTCTTGAGATTAAAGATAGAGTGGATAAAATTTTGGTCGTTCAACGGAGAGTGGTGGCTATTGGCTCTTTAGGTTTATGGTTTTTGCAGCTACCACAACCTATTTCTATCTTAAACGAGAAATCATTGATTGATTTGCTGAATTAGGTCAATTCTTTATTCAACCTACTAAAACTAATAGAAAAGGAGTGTCTAATTTTGTGTCTTATGACTTTGATCAAGTCTATTAGTATATTGGAGATAACCCTAATTTTGTCGTTTGCTCTCAAATTTTGATGGTTCCCTCTTAGCTTAGTTTGTAGTATATAATTGACTTGAACCAACAACTCTCATTTTCTTTTTTATTAGTGGCATGTTGTTCCTAAAAGGAGAGCATTGAAGCCTTTATGTAGGATTGTGAGGTTTTAGATTCAGTTTCAAACTATATATGGGTCGTGTGGTAATTCCAGTGAGCTTTTATATTCTATCTTTCTTGACAATCAACTAACCAATATAATATTATCATTATGAAAATGAAAATGAAATCAATGATATATTTTTATATTTTATATTCTTAAAAGATGATGGTATTTCTTCGAGTGTTCAACCTATATATTATTTCTTTATGTATCATCTCGATCGAAAGATTGTAAAAAAAAAAATTAAATAGATTGATAAACTTAAACTTAACATAAAATTATAAATAATTAAATATGAACATTCCGGCCAACGGGCCGGGTTATAAGCTAGTAGGGATAATAACGGATTCGCCAAAGATTTTTTTACTGTGCATGCAAGCTATGAATCGGGAAGCATGCTTGTAAAAGTCTGACGATGAAACACACGCATATGGACAATGACAAGACCTTTGGGACAAATCTAGGGTTTTATGTATCAGCGTTTTCACTTTTACGTCAAAAAATTAGGGCTTTGCACGTACGTAGAGGATTACATGCCGACCAAATTAAACCCCTAGGGTTTTTGACAAGATAGAAATCGAATCTTTTTGGGTGCACAAACAATAACAGGCAGTATATACTCATGCAAAATTAAAATGCAAAGAGAGAAACCCAGAAATGGTGCCATCACATAAATCTTAAAAATAATTAAAATGGGTTGACCTAATTGTAATGTGGGAATGGAAACATGTATCACATCTAAGTTCGAATTTTAGTGCCAACAACCAACGAAAAAAACTTTGTAAATATATGATGGTATAGGCCCCTTTTTATCAGATTACAAATTAGTCTTAATGGTCATTATCATCTACCGTTTTTGTCAATGTATAGCTTCGTACTAAGGGGTCGTTTAGTTTTAGTGATAGTTTGGTTGTGATAGTTACAATGCATGCAATATCCACAATGCATCATTATTTTGAATTTTCTGCGCAAACAATACATGCATTGCTTACTTGATTTGACACAAACTATCACTCATTTTGAGTGATAGTTAAATCTCAAGTTTTCGTTGAGATTGTTTGATGGAGATTGTTGTGTTTTCTTCTTCTTCCAAATATGTCCCTACCTTTTTGTGTGTGTTGGTTTTTTATATTAAAAACAAAGGATAAAAGTGACATTTTACCCAAAAAGTGATATAATTTATTTAAATACCACAATAACTATCACAGAAAGCAAACGATGAAAACTATAATACACCAATTTTCTTATATACATGCATATTATTATGCATACATTGATAATAATATATCGATTTAACTATCACCAAAACCAAACGACTCCTTAGTGACAGGGATTGTCTGTCAAAGAACTTGAAGATTTTTTTATTTATGAAACAATACAAATCGGTTCATAAAAAAACTTGTGAAAATGTGAGAGTTGAGAAAGAGAGAGATCTGAGCTAAATATATCAACATCAAAGGTGGGTTTGTATTGTTGATTGTAAAACCTAGTTTAGGACC